TCGCCGCGGCGGCCCGCAAGGCCGCCGCCCAGCCGGCGCGATCCGCCCCCAGAGCGGTCCGGAATTGGCGCTGGCCCGCCGCAGCGCCACACTGAGCTCACGGTCCCACCGGGCCACGAGCTGCCCGGCGAAGGCTTCGGCGGCGCTGTCGCCGCCGCCGTCGCTCGGCGCCAGCAGTGCTGCCTGCTCCATGGCCAGGCCGCGGAAGTGTCGAAGGGCCGCCTGGCCGTGGCGACCCGCGGTCTCCAGCGCCAGCGGCACCATTCGCCACAGCGTCTGCCTGGCCGGGTACCGCCGATGTTTGTCGGCCGCAGCGTTGACCACGCCGCCCCGGCCTGCGGCGGCGGCCAGCGACTCGGCGTCGCCCGGCACGCTGTTCTGGACTTTCACGTCGAAGAAAGTGCGCGGCTGGTCAGGCCGCTGCACTTTCAAGTCCAGGATGGCCTCCTCCCGCGCGTCTGCCAGAGCGCCTCCGCGGGTGGCGCAGGGGGCCGCCGGCCGCGCCCGGGCGGTCCCACGTCCCACGGGCGTTGCAGCCAGCGCAGCGCCACGCCCAGTGGTCCCAGGCTGGGACGTGAACCTGGCGCTCGGCACGGTGGCCGCAATCTGCCTGGATCCGCCGCGCGGGCAGCGCCGGGCGTGGCGGGCCTTGCCGCAGGGCGACTCGCCGCAAGGCTGGTCCGCGCGCTCGCCCGTGCGGGCGCGGTTGCAGCAAGTGGCCCCTGGCGGCGCCGCGTCCTGCCAAGGGAGGCAGCATGCAGTCCGCGTCGCCCAGTCTCTCGCGAGCCTGCCCGGGCGCCGCGGTTTGCCACCCAGGGGCGTGTGGCCCGCCGCAGGAGCGCAAGAGCGCCCTCCCCTCTGGCTCCAGGGCCCCGAGCGAGGACACACAACTTGTTCGGTCAATCCTCGCTGTCAAGGTCTTTTGGAGCTTCCGGGTCGGCGTCTCAGACAGCTCTCGCCACAGGTGGGCAGCTCGGCGGGCTCCTCGCCAGGCCGGGCCGGCGGCGGCGGCGCCAGCTGCGCGAGCCTGGCCAGCGCGTCGTCGCGGCAGGCGCCAGCAAGCAGCCTCCAAATCCTCCAAGCAGGCGGGGCCTGTGCATTCCCGGACACCACTCAGGCTCTGCGCCCAGGAGGCGGCCCAGGCCGCGGGCGCCAGCTGCTGCTGGCTGCGCAGGCCGCGCCCGCCCGTCCGCAGGGGCAGCCGGCTCTGCGCCTGCTGCAGCGGGCCCAGCTCCGCGTGCTCCTCGTGAGACGCCAGCATGGCCTCGAAGTCCACGGCCGACGCCTCCGAGGCCGCTGGCGGGCTCGTCCGGAGGAGGCGCGCAAGCTTACGCAGTGCAGGAGCCCGGCGGCTTGCGCGGCCGCCAAGTGCGGGGGGGCCGCGGCTGCGGGGGCAGCCGGCCTGGCGAGGAGCTCCGCTGGTCGCCCCGCCCGCTGGCTGAGCACAGGAAGGTGCCAGGGTCGACCTGGCGCCCGTCGCTCTCGTCCGGCAGACCGCCGGCCGGCAGCGGCGCCCCAGACGGCGCGCCCGTCAAGGTAAGGCCTGCTGCGCGCCATTGCGCCTCCAGGCGTGGAGGGAAGGTCGCGCGCCCAGACCAGGCCTGCGTCTTCCGCGGTTCCAGCTCCAAGCCGAGGCCGCCGAGGGCCTCCTGCGCTGCTGGCGGCAGGCACCGGGGCGACGACGTCACCAGGTAGGCGAGGGCGCGCGCGTCGTCAGGCCGGAGGTCCAGGGCGCGCGCAGGGCGCGCGGCGAGGGCGCGCGGGCGGGGTCGCATCCCGCAGGCGAAAAGGAGCGGAGCCAGCGGGCCCTCCTGGCCCGCGCCGTCAGTGGAGCGCAGGCAGCGGCAGGCCCCCGCCGCTGCGCCCCAGAAGTAATTAAAATATTCCCGGCGGCAGAGCATACGAGCGTAGGGCAGCAGCTCCAGCGCCGCCAGTTCCAGTTCCCGCAAGCAGCCTTCTCCGTTCGCAGTGCCAGTGCGACAGTCGCCAAGTTCGGGTTGGCCTCCGCCAGAGCCCGCGCCGAGTGCGCCAGTAGCTCGGCGCCCGCAGCTGCGCCCGCGGCGAACTGCTGCCCCCCCCCCGGGCTTCGGCATGTCGTGCTTTCGGGGCGCCACCAGCCGCCGCAAAATATTCGGTGCGGCGATGGGCCGGGCCCCGCCGCACTCGGGCCGCGGCGGCGCGCTCGGGCGCGCGGCCTTCTGCCACCCTGTCGCAGACCTCGCAGGTGGCAGCCGAGGACTACCCACCAGTGCTCGAAGCGTCCGCAGCCGGCGGCCGCCCCGCTGCCCCGGGGGCCCCCCTTGAGCGGCGGTTCGTTCAAGGAGAGGTGAGACAGCGGCGGCGGCGCGCCCGCCGGGGGCAAGGCAGCAGAAGGGCGCGACCGGAGCAGCGCCTATAGCTGGCCCGCCGTGTCCGCCGCGAGCGGGGCGAGGCCGGGGCTGCATAGTAGGGCGGCTGCTCGGGGGCACTCCTCTTCCACCGCCTTGCGCGCAACCTCGTCTGCGAGAGAGCGCTCGCCCCTGGCGGCGCCGCCCAGCCGCCCGCGCGCCTCGGCCAAGGCCCGGGCCGCGCCCCTGGCCGTCGCCAAGAGCTCCTAGCTCCCAGCCGCCCTGGAGCAGCGTAGAGCAGCGCTCACGCACGAGCTGCGCGCGGCCCAGAGTCTCCGCCGCTGCGCGGCGTTGTCGGCCGTCTGTGCCAAGCCCGAGAAAAGGCGGCGGAAAGTAAGCGTTCCCGCGGCGCGAGAAGCTTCCAGGCCCGCTCCGCCTCCACGACCCCAGCCGGAGTTCGAAGGACCGCGTTGCAGAGCTCTTCCGCGGCATGCGCGGCCGCTGCCCGGGCTCGCCCGGGAAAGGGCGGGGCAGTCCAACGCGAACTCCTCCGTCAAAGTCGCCCAGTCCCGGCCCCGAGGTCCCGGAGGGCGAGAGCCGCGGCGCAGCGCCCAACGCCGGCGCGTCTTCCCGCGGGGCGGCGCCGGCGAACCGCCAGGGGCCAGGACAGCAGGCGCCGCGCTCGCCGTTGCCGCCGCCGCGGCTGCCGCGCTCCCGGGGGCCGCTGCAGCCCGCGGAGCGTCCGGCCTGCAGCGCCGGCAAATTAATGCGCGCGCCAGCCCCAGCCCCGTCGCACACGGAACATCGGCCCCCAGCCTCTGCTCGGAAGGGGCCCGCCTCTGCGTGGCAGGGCAAATCTGCCCGGGGCGGGTCGCCTCCCCCGTATGCGCACCGAAGCCAGCGGGGAGCGCGCTGGTCGCCCGCGCGGCGCGCGGTCCGTAGCCGGCGGGTCATCTCCAGCGGGGCATGCTCGTCTCCGCGGGCCGCGTCCTGACGCCAGTTTTTCTCTGGGAGGCCCCTCCGCCTGGCGGGTCGGCCGGAGGGCGGGAGGGTGCGGCGCCACTTCGCCGCGTCTCCCCAGCGCTCCAGCCCCGCCTCCTCGTGGGCCCGCGGCGGCAGTGGGCTGCGCGAGCGTGCGGCGCCGCCTCGCTGCGCCTCCCGGGCGCTCAAGCCCCGCCTCCTCGTGGGCCCGCGGCGGCAGCGGGCGGCGCGAGGGCCGCAGGCCGCGTCCTGACGCCAGTTTGGGGGCCCGCGGCGGCAGTGGGCGGCGCGAGGGCCGCGGGCCGCGTCCTGGCGCTAGTTTTTCTCTGGGAGGCGCCCTTGGGGTCGGGCCCCACCTGGCGGGCCGAGGGCGGGGGAGGGCGGCGCCGCCTCGCCGCGCCTCCTGGGCGCTCAAGCCCTGCCCTCCCGCGGGCCCGCGGCGGCAATGGGCGGCGCGAGGGCCGCGGGCCGCGCCCCGACGCCAATTTTTCACTCGGCGGCAGCAAGCGGCGGGAGCCGCGCAGCGGCCCAGGGCCACTTACTTCCACCAACCCTTCCCTGCCCGGAGGAGGCCAAGTCTCCCCTGTGGCCCCACGGGCCTTAAAAATAATGCCTGGGCCTTAAAAATAATGTCAGGCCTCATTTGCACATTGAACATGCTGTTTCGCGCGCGCGCTTTAACCGTGCACGAATCCGACGGATCGCGCGGGATTTGAATCGCGACGTCGCGCTGCCGCGCCGTGGTCAACAGAACAGTGTGAGAATTACCTTCGAATATCGCGGTTGGCGGTGGTTTGGCCGCGGCTCGGATCGGAAAGCCCCCCCCCCCCCCCCCCCCCCCCCGCACACGCGCACGCGCGCGCACGCGCGCGCGCGCACGCACAGACACGCGCACACGCGCCACCACTACCACCACCACCACCAACCACGCACGCGCGCGCACGCACGCACGCACGCACGCACGCACGCACACACAACCGCACACAACCACACATTCACGCAGGCACACTTAAATGAGCAGCAACAAGAACAACGAGAACGGCGACAACAGCAACAATCACAATCACAACACCATCAACAACACCAACCACTACAACAACTACAACAACCAAACCAACAATAACAACAATAACAGCACCAGCACCAACAACAACAACAACACCAACATCAACAACACCGCCAACAACAACCGCAGCAACAGCAGCAGCACCAACAATAGCAACAGCGGCAACAACTATGTGGGCTCAGCGTTGGGCTTGGCCAGGGATTAGAGTTTGCTCGCGGGGCCGAGTGCTTGCAGTTTATGGGGTTGGTGTAGTCAGCTTAGCTTGGCGAGAGCCCCAGGCCCTCCGCGGGCATCTGGCAGCCGCAGGTGGCGTCACTGCGCGGGTCGGTCGGACGGGGCCCTCTCTTAGTCGTGTGATCGTATTGTTCCTTGTCCTACACCCCCGTCTCCCTTCATTCGCTGGGTTCGCCGAGAGGGCTGCGCCCGCGCGGCGGGATCGCCCCCCCAAGCCGCTCGGGCCGCGAGTTCGGGGCTACCATGATCGTGCCCAGACGTTTGTGGGCACGACACAATAAACAAACAAGTGTGGGTTCACTATCATCATTACCGTCATCGCCACCATCATCTTCGCAACCGTCTTGGCTCTGGCTCAAGACGCCTCCACGGAGACATTCATAGGTTCGCACATGTCAGACGGTGAGGAAGAGAAGTCGAAAGATCGCGCGCGATGGCGCGGCGAACTATCAGAATTGGTGAACTGTTTCCAAGGGAGTGCTGACACGCGTGGTAAAAGTTTTGTCCGGTACCCCGTGGAGGAGAAGATCGAAAAGGCGAAAGTGGTGGAGGATAAACGCACGCAGCCTGCCATTGTAGTGCTAGTGAAGGGCGCGCTGAAACTAGATGAGCGCCTGAATTTCAAAAGGACCGACGTCGAGAATGCCTCGGAGAAGCTGTTCGACACCAATCGCGAGAAGTGGCCCCTCAAGCCAGAAGCGAAGGACAAATGCACGAACGACATGGACCATAGGATTCGATCCATCTTCTTCGTGGTATCCAAGGCAATGAACAATGACAAGCATCCGAAATGGCTCAAGAAGGTAGTCGGCGATTCCTTGGATGATGGCGCGGACGACGATCATCAAAGTGTAAGCGGTGCATCAGGAACCCGATCGGCAACCAGTATCCAGCGTGCGCACGGCTGGCACAACGAGCTCTTCAGGGGCATGCGCCACAAGGCCAGCGACGCCAGCAGTATGGACCCCGAGCTTGCCGTGCCGACATCGCGGCCGCCCGGCGGTGCAGACCCCACCGACGACTACGAGGCTACGTGGCAGGATGGGACTCGCCACAAGATCAGCGGGATCACCAATCAGATGGTCGCCGAGAGGCTGGACAGCAGGAAGTCGGCACGCTCGGGCGCCGTCGTCCTCTGGAGGGGCACCCACGTGGAGCGCAATCACGATTTGGTGCTGCAGCAGAAGATCGATAGGAAGTTGCTCCTGGCTTTGCTCGAGCAGAAGAAGAAGCAAATCCTGCAAGTCGCCGTGGACAACGTTGGGCCAGCACCGCCACTTAACTCGGATGGTAAGCCTCAGGCCATCACGGGCATGAACGATCCCACGCTCAAGAAAGCGATCGAGTTCATGGCGCCTTTCTGTGAGAAGCACGCCAAGGGCAGTATCACTCCGAAGGAGCTCGACGCCGAGAAAAAATCAAGCTCGCGGAGGTGGCCCCAGGTGGTAAGAGGGCGGCGTCGAATAAGCCTGCTGGTTTTCCGAAGAAGAAGCCAGCAATGGCGAAGCCCCCTCGCGAACACTCGGAAAAAGAGCAGAGCCCAAACAATACTGATGGCGGCGAGTCAGACCAAGAAGATTCGCAGCAGAGCGACGCCGGCCTACCAGCGTCGGGCCCATCCGCAGCAGCAGCTTATCCTTCACGCATCCAGAGCATTCTAGATCAGTTTCCAGCCTCGCGCAGCTAGTAAACCAAGCCAGGCGCGAAGCACGTGCAATCTGCGCGCCCCAAAAGATCAGCCAAAACGAGCGCCCCAAAAAAGATCCCCCTCCTCCTCCTCCTCCTCCTCCTCCTCCTCCTCCTCCTCCTCCTCCTCCTCCTCCTCCTCTCCCAACATGTTTCAACGTAGTTAGAGCCATGTTGCGCATTCTCAGCAACCTCTTCCTCCCCCCCCTCCCCCCCCCCCTCCTCCCCCTACCCCCAAGGGCCCGCCAAAGCGAGCGCCATGGCGATCAACCGAAACGAGCGCCCCCAAAGATCAGCGAAAACAAACGCCCTCAAAGATCTGCTGCTCCACGGGCACCTCGAAAACTAGAACCATCATCCAACCGTCGTCCAACCATCGAAACCATCGGGCACCTCCACGTCCACCTCCTTTTGCAGCTCCCTGGCGGGTTGGGGGAGGCTCGCAATGCCCATCCCGCTGACGAAGAAAGAGGGGAGAAGGGGGAGGGGGGAGGGGGAGGGCGAGAAGGGGGGGGGGGGAGAGGGAGGAGAGGGGAGGAGGGAGGATGGGGGAGGGAGAGGAGGGATGGGGGCGAGAGGAGGGAAGAGGGGGAAGGAGAAGGGAGCTCGGGGACAACAATGTGGGCCACGCCCCCTCATCTTCCATGGGCGCGGGGCTCTCTGAACAGAAACTGCGAGACATCCAATCCCCGTTGCAGCTCAGTTTGTAACAAGCTTCGATTCTCGATTATATGATGCGCGTGTGTCCTAGCAAAGATGGGCAGCGCCCCCAATCTCACCACCGTCACCGGTAGCCATTTGGGCTCAAGACGGCATAGGCTTGCTTCACGCGAAGTCCGACGCATGTCGAGGCAGAGGGACACGCCTCCTTCGCCGACGGAGACGGCTCGGTCTTCCCCAGCCCACTCGCCAGAGCCCAAGAAGCAGCGCTCAAGCGAGTTGGAACTTTCTCCGCGTGCACCTCCGAGGCACCCTTCGCCGATGCACATCTCAGACCACAGTGGTTCGCACCTTGAGGCCCCGACCGAGAAGCCTTTCAATGATGCGGGCGACGCCGAGCAGCGGCGCAGTGTCGCCGCGACCTTGCCAGACCCCAATGCTGAGACAGCGCCTGCCACTGAGGAGGAGGGGGAGGTGATGCTCAATCTCTTCAAGGGCAAGCTGGAGTCCATGATCGGCGCCATCGAACACAGCGACAGCGGTAGGCTCGCGAGAGCACTGGGCATCGAGATTGGAGAGCTGAACGAGAAGAACTTGAAGGATCACGAACATGCAATCAACACACTGTCGAACACATTAGGTCAACAGGGAGACGCAGCATTCCGTGCCTCAACAACTGTACCTCGCAGGGGTCAGCAGCGACTCCAGATGATTGACGAGGCGCTCGCCAACGGCAAGGTCGAGCCACGCTCATCATTGGGAAACTACTTCAGAGCCGAGTTGAACAAAAACCCGCAGGAGGCCAAGAAGCACGCGCCCCTGAAGCAGCCCGAGGCGGACGAGCATCGCAAAGAGTGGGCTGAGCGGGAGACAGGCAAGCTGCTGGGGAAGTATTCTCACACTCGCACGTGGGCTCGGGTCGACACTACACAGGGCGACTACCTCAATCTCGGCCAGCTCGTCATCGACCAGGGCGGGTGGGACGACCCAGAGGCCATCGTTGGTGTTCTCAAGCTGGTCAACCAGTGCGTGAGCATGGGTGATCCGCGGGTGGCGACGCATCCACAGACGCAAAGAGTAGTGTACCTGCGCTTGAAGTTCAAATGCGTCGAGACGTTCACGAAGGCATGGACATCTTTCCAAGAGGAGGTAAATCCATTGGCAGCTACCAGTGGCGAGGGGGCTGGCAAGAAGGCAGCCTCGGGTGCAGCCGCGGCAGCTGGCGCTCCCAACAAGGGCAACAGCGACGGCAAGCAGGAGAAGCAGCCCGACAAGGGCGGAAGTGCAGGCATTGCAACGCCCATGGAGAAGAAGAGGAAGGGCGGCAAGACCTCCACCAAGAAGCTGCCCAAGGACCCGAAGGCCGAAGAAGCTGCCCAAGAACCTGATGCCTTCAAAACGCTGGTGATGCAGGCTGGCGTGAGCAAGAAATCGTACATAAACCCCCTTCCCCCCCCCCCCCCCCCCCCCCTACCCCCCCCCCCCCCCCCCCCCCCCCCCCCCCCCACCCCCCCCCCCCCCCCCCCCCCCACCCCCCCCCCCCCCCCCTCCCACCCCCCCTCCCCTTCCTCCCACCACGTCCTCTTAACCCTCCTCATCCATAGGCTAACGCCCTCAAGGAGACCCTGGTCCAGATCACTTGGAAGGCGAACCGCATTCTTGGCATGATCAATTCTTCGCCGAAGTGGGCCTGGACGAACAATTATGCGAACAAGGAGATGCTGGAGAACCTTCTTGCTCAGCTTGAGGCGTGCCAATAGAAATCCCTTTTCATCTTGGACTTCGTCTCGCAGGACAACACCAACAGAGTGATCAACCGTGTCGAGAGGGAGCTGGCCCAGGTGGAGATGAAGAAGCTGGTCGACCTCGAGCCCAAGATCACCGCCGTCAAGAAGCACATGGACAAGCTGCTCAAGAAGCACGAGATCGAGCTGGCAGATGCGGAGGACGAGTGAGGCATGGTCGTGGTGCTGAGCTCTTTAGTGGTGCTGCCGTGGAGGCACAACGATGGATGGATGTGCCTGTCGGGTTGTCGGCAGCCCGCGTTTGGACACTCTTCTCGTGCTCGTGGTCGCAGCGCTTTAACCAAGAGGGGTAACCAACGCCACGATGAAAAAAAAGCCCGACTCGAAACCATGACGAATCCAGCCCGATGTCACGATAGCAATGGAAAAACAACAACATTTGAACTGGAACGACCAAATAAAACTATCGAAAAACATTGTTGAGGAAACTATTGAGCAAACTATTGAAATATCGATATTAGCTGTAAAAACACAGGGTATGACCACCCACACAAAAAAAATGAAGAAACTATTGAAACAATCGTTGAACTATTGAGGGGCTTATTCTAAGGCCGGTAGCCCTCCGTCGGTCAAGTCTCCGCAGTTTTCTTCGGAGTCAGCCACGTGGACAGCTTAGCGTTACTGTGGGGGCTGAGTTTAGTGCTCCGTTGTGTTTGTTTGCTGCTCTCGGTGGAGAGGGTGTTGAGAGAGAGGCAAGAACGCCTTCTCGAAGTCTTCAGGGGCGCTGCGCGGGCATATCGGGATTGCCCATTTTTGCAGACAATCACCTCCTCCCGCCCCTCCGCATTCTGCTCTCGCCCTCCTCCTGATGATCCCCCCCCGCCCCGCAAGTAAGCAAAAACAGAGGGGGAGTGCGCCTGGCGTTGGGTGGTGGGGGGGGGGGGGGGGGGGGGGGAGAGGGTGTGTGTGTGTTGTGTGTGTGTGTGTGTCGTGTGTGTGTGTGTGTGTGTGGTGTCGTGTGTCTTGTGTGTGTGTGTGTGTGTTCTAGATGTTGTGTTGTGTGGCTCAGTGTGAGTCGTTTGGTGTGAGGGTGAGGTGGCGCGTTGGCGGTAGTGATGTCGTGGGGGGTGGGGGGAAGTGTGTGAGTGTGAGTGTGAGTGGTGTGTTGTGTGTGGTGTGGTGTGTGTAGTTGTGTTGTGTGTGCGTGTTGAGTTGTGTGCTTGTGCGATAAAGTTGCAGAGGTCATGCGTTGTGCGTTTACGTTGCGTTGGTGTAGTGTGTTGTGTGTTGTGCGTGTGTGTGAGTGTGTGTGCGTGTGCAGTGTGGTGTGTTTGGTCGTGTGTGTGTGTGTGGTGTGTGTGTGTGTGTGTGTGTGTGTGTGTGTGTGTGTGTGTGTGTGTGTGTGTGTGTGTGTGTGTGTGTGTGTGTGTTGGGGGGGGGAGGGGGGGGGCGAGGAGGCGAGGTGGGGTGGGGGTGTGGTGGGGCGGGGGGGGGGGGGGGGGGGGGCGGGGGGGGCCGGGGGGGGATCGAGGGGTGGGGGGAGGTGGAGGACGCAGCACTCACACGCCGCGTGTGCGATCTGCTGATTATTGATAGTGAGACAGGTCGGGGGGGGGGGGGGGAGGGGGAATGGGAGGGGAATATAATCCACATCCTGTCGGTGATATGATCGTGGCAAGCTTTCGTCAGAAAGCCCTACTGGGAAATCCTGGCCCCCCTGTAGTCCAGCACGATCGGGGCAACGCTGTAGACTGGCGGCCCCGGTAGGAGGAGGAGGAGGAGGAGGAGGAGGAGGAGGAAAAGGAGGAGGAGGAGGAGGGGGAGGAGGAGGAGGAGGGGGAGGAATGGGGGGAGGATGAGAAGGAGGACAAGGATGGCGGCGGGGGAGAGAGGAGGAGGAGGAGGATGATGATGATGATGATGATGACGCGCCTTGAAAGGTCGGTTCTCCCAAAACACAAACCTGAGAAGCCACCAATACGCCAAATGCGTACGGTAGAGAAAGAGAGAAGCGGGGGGGAAGCGGGAGAGGGGAGGGGCAGAACAAAAGATGAAGCCCAACCCAGGATTGAAACCCATGATACTGAAAGAAATCATGAATGAAAGACTGTCCGATGTCCCCGAATGAAATCCACCACTAGGACCCTCTCGCTTTGAATAAAGATGAGAGCAATGAGAAACGCAATGCGAGGTGATGGATTGTGCTCAAATTGATCAGAATATCTTGAGTGACTTGAGTAACTCGAGTAATTCGAGTAACTCTTGAAGCCAATCTTGATGGCATATGTTCCCACGACCTGAAGTGGTTAAGAAGTGAAGAGAACTTTCATTGAGTCCCATGAAACCCGATATACATAAGTGACAACCCAGTCGGATATATGTAGTGAAAGAAAGCCTGACATTAAACTGAATGTCCCAAGCACGCAATGATCCCAGAAGATACGGAGGCATACAAAAATGAGCTGTAAAGCCGAGTGAGAGCCCAACCGTGAGAACCCACCCCAGGTGAATCAAGGCATATGAAGTAAGATTGAATTCTAACAACTTTGACGCAGGAAGGCTGGGAATGTTTATGGCTTTGTATTGCCAACCACCGACGTTGAAGAGCATGCAAGGGAGATTGAAGGGGAACTGAGAGACCTCCAAAAGCCGCAGGCCCATGCACCGCAGACGCCAAGAGGTTCAGACTGTGGGAGTCCCAGGAGAGGCCTTCACGGATACTTCCAACGCCACTTTTCCACAAAGAAGTCTCCGTCCCACCAGTAGTCAGACAGGTGCCATACCACTGGATGAGGCCAGCCAGATTCAGGGTCGAACCACGTGTCATAGTACTCCGTATACCAGACTTTGGTGTAGACTTTTTCCTCTTCACAGTAGTTCCACATACCACCTGAGCCGTGTGTCCACTTGAGACGCTTCCTAGCTGCTAGCTTGGCTGGAAGGCTGCGTTTGGCCATCCCCTGAATTGTATATGGAAGTTTCCCAGCCGTCTCGGACGAGAGTTCCCGTCAGGGTTTGAGGCGAAACGGCTACTGACTAACAGCCAGTTCTTTCCAAGGGACTCTCCGAACCCTTTCGTCGGGAGCCCGAACGTTGACATACAGTCTATTAAAGCCGCTGTCCCGACAAGCTTTGAAGAGCGGGATTTTGCACCAGTCATATGTGAGATGTGGACCACCAAGGTCCGATGGTATAAGAAACCGAGCAGGCAACTTGACCACCCTTTGGAATAGCAGCGTAGAGCAGTACGAGAGTGCTTCAAGGTCTTGTTTGGACAGGAAGCAGACTTTGCGTTTAGACCTGCAAAGCTTCCCCTGAAAGATAACGTGAGGGTCTGACGCCTTGGGAAGTAGCATACCGAAAGCTTGAGCCCGAGACTGCAGGAGCCGACAGGAGGCAAGGGACGAGGAAGGGCCCACCAGAGGCAGACAGAGGGAGGCGGGATTGTTGCGAAGCCACGGTGTCCCTAAGATCGCAGAGATCAGGCGGGTCCCAGATAGAATCGCACAAGTGACATCTCCTGGTGTCAGCCAATCCCGTAGGCGGGAGGCAAAGAGAGAGGAGAGAACACAAAGGGGTCTCGAAACAGACCCAAATGTAAATTCCGTGGGGAGTCAAATACCCCCGCTCCATTAGTATTGGAGCCTGTTCTCTGAGGCTGCAATTAGGTAAGATACCCATACCTCTGAGGATTCCGTAACATTAAATTTGTGCACTTGCATTCCGTGGAACATTGCCACGGCAAACTTCCGAGTGTGGGGTGCACATGGGCCACGAAAAAGGCGCCGGTCTTTCCCGGTCCTAGCGAAAGACCCATGTTGATCAGCAAATGTCAAAATGGACCGAATGGAGCAGATGATGGGAGAAATCCCCTGAATAATGTTCCAGAACCGATCTGGCTCAACATACCCCGCTCCCAACCCTAACTCCATCAAATCTCCGATGAGCTCTAGCCATCGAGAAGTGTCGGGTCCCCTGTTCCACCGTTCTCGGACCATCCTCTGTACATCGGTGACACGACCAGCGACTGATCGAAGCTCCTCCATGGACTTGGACGAAGCACTGGTAGGTTGTCTTCTTTGAAGATACCTGGCCATTTGACCCCAAATATTCCACCAGACAGTGTATATGAAATTCCCAGGATCTGACCAGCGGTTGTCGTAGAACACTGCGCCCTTGTATGACATTGTCTTAATCTGTACAAAAGACATAGAGCGTACTGCAATTCCCACAATCCCAATAAGGTCTTTGCACGCCTTACTTGAGAAAAACTCCTCAAAGAGGTTCCATAGCTGCCTGAGAGGTATCTCGAATTCGCGTCCCTTCTCGTACATGTGGAGTGTGACACATCTCCGCGGGTGGTATGATCCTGAATTTAAAGGGACGATCTCGGAACTTTCGATTGCCAGTGCACGTGGGCAGGCAGATGCCCACGCCTCGAAGATACAGCACTGGAGCGACTTTGAATTCCATGGCCTGACGACCCTCTGAGGGGCAAGCATGAGAGTGTGTTCCCAGAAAACTTGAGAAGAGGTCGGAGCAGAACGTGCAAAGCGAATTGAACCAAAATGACTACAGAAAGCGGCCAAGCCAACAGGCCAACCGAAAGACAAGGATTCGAAAGATGAAGAGATAGAGAAAAGAGATGCACTTTATCAGGATCGGACGGCAGTCATCGTCCTGGCCAGCAAGGTGAGATTAACAATCCCAGGCCGAACTCCTTTTGTACTGAAGTGAAGAGGCAAACTGAACGCCAAACTACCCCAAGAAAGAACTTGAAACGTCGAGGACTTGGGCAAAGAGTGAGCAACAACCCCACTTAACCCCGTCAGCCGAATTGAGAAGAATATGATGCAGTCCCCGCTCCTGCGAGGTGACCTGGGGTCCTCATGCCCTGAGATACTCGTAATCCCCAGCATTCCCAGATTGAAACGAAAGCCATAATCCTGGCAAAGTGATGAAATTGACAATCCCATCCAAGCCCGTTTTGAACTGAAGTGAAGGGCCAAACTAAGAGCGAAGCAATCCCAAGTTAAGAAATGTCCCATCTAGGCTGTGGGCAAAGCAAGAAACGACTCCACTACTTTGGCCCTGACGGACATATTGATGAGAGCAGAACTTAATTCATGCCTCGGAGAAAAAGCCTGAGGTCCCCGATTGAACCAGAGTTGAACCAAGAAGAGAACTGAGGACCCAAAGGGAAGGAAGAA